ATAGCCAAAATTCGTTTCGAAGCAGAAGGCTTACTGTGTTTGGTGAAAGAACATGAGAAATATTTGGGCTATCATCAATTATTGCTAAGCTTTTTAATGAGTATTTAGTGTCCAACAAGCTTTTTAGACAAGAAACAAAGCAGCCCCATCTTGTCTTTGCAAAAAAAGGAAAAGAGTAGAGCGGGAGAAAATCAATATTGTCAGTGTTACCGATCTTGCGATAATATTATGCAATATTACCAAAATTACCGGTAATATTACCCTTTATATCACTAATTAGAAATAATAATCAGTAAATAATCAAAATACTAATAATAATTTAGCAGAAAATTAAAAATTCTACAGATTCTTAATGTCGACATTGCAGAGCCCATTGTTGCTAAATATATTAAAATTGTGTCCAAAGGGAATGTCTACAGTGTGTTAGGGTAGAGGGTAGTTTCACACAAAACGTCTGTTTTTACCTGTGTACAGGGTGGGTCAAATTCGACGCTTTTAAATGGAAACACCCTTTTCTATAGGAGATATATCGATATCTGTTACCGTTTCGGAGTTACGGGGTGTTTTTCAAAAATATGCACTTTTAACAAATCGCTGTAACTTTTTTGGTATGGAAAATTTTGTATTTTTATGAAAACATTTCCAAAGCACCTTTTTACGTAGAATTTAATGGTTTAAGTATAATTTGTTCAAAATGAATAATTTAAGAATTATCAACAGAAAATTTGATTTTTTATACGGGACAACCTGTATATTTTTAATTTATCGAAAATAATTTAAAATTACCTTTCCAAAAATATAACACACTTGATATTTTGCTCGATTCCTGTTCGAGATATAGAATATATAAAAATTCGCCCGCTTTAAATGAGTAGGCTTTGAACGGCACTGGCTGTAATGCAAAAAAAAGTCTCTAGCTGTGAGCATCAATTAAAATGAAAATAATGAGAGATGCAGAATTTTATAACAATTTAAAATATATTTAACCAACATTAACACATTAAACTATATCTAATAATAATACAAATAAATAGCAAACCAAGACATGAAATTTTGCTACAGGTGTTCGACATATCGACCGTCTTCGTCTGTTATGGACAGACAGGGCAGTTTTTGAACATTTCTCGCGGAATTCATTAACTCAGTAGGGGTGAAAGATACCCTCTCATAACTGCTAAGTATTTCTAATTCTTTTCTAGATTATACGGAAGAATAAGAAACCTTTATTTTTCCGCAAATATATCCATAGGATTAGATCCATGGGCACTAAGTCTGGCGGTACTCGCCGGCCAACGGCTGGAATCTTGGTTAGCTATTCAATTATTCTTGAAATTGGATGCAAAAATTTGCTGTTCAGAGGCGGTGCGTCGTCTTGCTGGAAAAATATGTTTTTGAGTTCCATTAAGGGCATATCATCGATAAGGGGTCCAAAGCCTACTAGTTAAAAGTGGCGAACTTTTAAAAATTCTGTATTTCGAAGGGGATTATAACAAAATATCTAGTGTGCTACATTTTTGGAAAGGTAATTTTAAATTCTTTTCAGTTAATTAAAAATATAGAGGGTGTCCCAAATAAAAAATCAATTTTTCTGTTAATAACTCTTAAATTATTAATTTAAAAAAAAATATACTTAAACCATTAAATTCTACGTAAAAAGGTGCTTTGGAAATGTTTTCATAGAAATACAAAATTTTCGATAGCAAAAAAGTTACAGCGATTTATTAAAAATGCACATTTTTGAAAAACACCCCGTAACTCCGAAACGGTAACAGATATTGATGTGCGGTTTTCACCATCATGTTTTTTATGAAAATTCAGCTCCAGACACCGATATTAGTTTTCGTCTATCTCCTATAGAAAAGGGTGTTTCCATTTAAAAGCGTCGAATTTGACCCACCCTGTACAGGGTGTCCGACTAAGAATAGCTCTCGGCTGTATCTCGGAAAGTATTAGCCGTAGGGCCTACGGAAAAAAAATATTTATAACTAAAGAGGCTATGAGAAATTGCTGGAAATTATTTTCAAGTTTGTTAAACGGCCGATAGAGGGCGCAACTGCTATTGAACATAATAAAATAGAATTTTTACAGAATTTTGTTGAGATAATGGGTACTATAAATAATAGCTTCATAATCTTCAGTAAATTTTTGATTTTTTTTGTTAGAACTATTTTCCTTTATCTGCTAAAATAAAGTGGTGGGGGAGGTTAGATCTGTCTTTATTTAAATGTTAATAACTCCGGACTGGATGAACGGAACCAACAAACGGGGGCTCGTTTAAAAGAGCGTTTCTTGTTCTATATTATACCATAAAAGTAATAATAATAAGGTTTTGAACATAGACGCTAGGGGGCGTTTTCTTACAATTTAACAAACACAGCGCGTTTTTTGAAAAAAAAATACGATAGTATATGTAATTTTAGCTGATAGTAATGAGCAGTAAAAGCTTAAAAAGTCGGCGAAAACCGCATCGTGATATCTTCTTTCAAATCGAAGATATTAGCAAAATTATAATAAATACCAAAAAATAAGTCCTTAATTACATTATTTTTACCACATGGCATCAGTAGCCCTCTTGATTATGCCCATTCTAACAAAAAAATAAGATAGAAACAGTTAGTTTATTTTAAAATTGACGAAATACCAGAATGCCATAATAACAGATGTATTAATATCTAATAATTAAGATATTAATAACAGTGAAGAAATGATGCTTCAGTGAAGTCATGGTAGGCTTTGGAAAAAAGTTGCTTTTGACGTAATAGTATAAACGTCAAATTGTTATTAGATCAACATTTTGATAGTCTTAGCAGCGTTTTTTTTTATCTTTTGATTGCTTTTTCAAAATGTCAACAACTTCAACTACTTCAAATAATAAAGGCATTTTGAAAAAGAAATCAAAAGAAGAAAAACGCTGCAAAGACTATCAAAATGTTGATCTAATAACAATTTGACGTTTATACTATTATGTCAAAAGCAACTATTTTCCAAAGCCTACCATGACTTCACGGAAGCATCGTTTCTTGTTCCCTCTTATTATAATATCTTAATTATTAGATATTAATGCATCTGCTATTATGGTATCCTGGTAAAATTTACTGAAGACTATGTAGCTATTATTTATAGTACCCATTATCTAGACAAAATTCTGTAAAAATTCTATTTTCTTATTTTCCTAAATATTTTTCATAGCAGTTGCCCCCTCTAGCCGCCCTTTTACAAACTTGAAAATAATTTCCAGTAATTTCTCATAGTCCCTTTATTTATAAATATTTTTTTCCATAGGCCCTACGGCTAATACTTTCCGAGATACAACCGAGAGCTATTCTTAGTGGGACACCCTGTACCCCTGTACAAATAAATCGCTATGGCGATCTAGTAAATCGGAGAGAGAAAAAGTATTTATCACATGACCACTTAATACGCAGCTAGATATCATTCGCTTGGAAAAATACTTGCTTTTATTTCTATATTCAGTACTGGGCGCATTGGCCGTACTCTTCGTACCCACGAAAATCGGCACCCATGGCTAGAAATACCGATCCGGTGTAGCATACATTTTTCATCCCATTTTCCATCTTCGCGCCCTTTTAAAAACACTTTTCTATTTAAAATATCGAAATCAACGACCTCTCTTATAGACAACGCGTATCACTGACATCTTGATCGATACCAGTCGATCAATCGATGCGCCGCAAACAAAGGAACATCGTCGAGTGGAATGGGTTCATGGGTTCGTCACGATGGCGCTGTTATCGCTGACGTTGGCTATTGCATGACTACGTCAGAGCGGCACCAACAGGAAAGGATGTCCGGTCGTCGGACCCTATCTGTTGTTTCTGCAAGAACCTCCGCTGCTGCAAGAACTGTGGTCACATGATCGCGCGCGGTTCTTAACTCGCAGGAGGCTTTCTTTCAACGTTGCCGGCTTCATAATAAAGCCTTTGAGACGAAGAATTTTGAAATTTATTTTTTTGATACTTATATTAGTAATTACAGTTCTTACAGTGCCATGCTTTGTACAAAACCTTTTGGCGATCTTTAGCATGTACCTGAAGATTAATCCCAGTAGGATTTAGGAGGTACTCTCGGATAGGAGGCAGATACATTTCCCAGCCTTGCCACCGAACCATGGCTACCACAACATTATATACTTCAAGTATCATATATTTTGGTACTTCTATTTTTATATTAATTAATATAAAAACTAAAACAAATATAAAAGGTGTATCATTCCATGATAAATTATGGAGATAAAATTGTGGATAAAAAATTTTATACATAAATCATAATAAATATCTATACAGCGTGTTTTGCCCATAATCACTTCGATATATTATGAAGATGAAAGGAAATTTAGCAGAAAATTTAAAATTATAAAACATTGCGCTAAATATACTAAAATTGTGTCCAAAGGGAATGTCTACAGTGTGTTAGGGTAGTTTCACACAAAACTTTTAATGGATACTGGAATTTCAGCATATTAAGAAAGCTAGGGCTCTTTTAAGCAAGAAAGATACTCTTTATTTATTTCGAAATCAAATAGGTAACTACGAATTTGAATGATTAAAATAAATGAATTGTTAAGGACTGTTACCTCAGGGAGCATATTAGGGCATATATTTTTATAGGAACTTTTTCTTTTATTCTATTTGTAGTATCCCCCTGAAGTACATTTTGGTAACTATTTTTTCTCACTCAATATAACAAACCAGCCTTTATTTTTACCACTATGAATAACTCCGTAAACTTTTTCGTAAATGTTTTGAAATACCCTGTAGATTTGAGTCTTTGTAAAAGAATGCAAGCAGGGCGAAGTAATGAGAGGTCACTAGCTTAAAGGTTAAACATTAATTTACAATAGAGTCTAGATTTATATATGGGGACACAGTGCACAATCAGTAACACTATGTATGTTTGCAATAATATAGAATCTGGCAACCCTGCTGCAGTGAACGGCGCTCCGCAGGCCGCAGGGACTGGCGAACAGATAGTACCGAAGATCCGCGAGTACTGTTACTTCGGCGGACTTGGTGCCAAGTCGTACTACGGTTACGCGGGAGTGTTGGTTGGTGTGCGCTTCTTCTGTTGACGTTTTTTAAAAGGACTGTGACCTAATATCGGAGAGGATCTGTTCTCTGCTGTGTGGTTCTGTGACTTTTGTGGAATGTAATTTGCTCGTCTCATTTGTTGGATAATTCATTTTGGGAACATTTAATCTCTGAAAGTGAGTTAGAAAGTACATATTTATTAGTTATTACAGTTATATTTTTAATATTTGTCAAATTATGAATATATTTCTTCTAGTAGCAACTTAATTATTTAAAAAATATATTCCTCGTATTAAAGACAAATTAAAACATGCATTCATGCATCGGTCATTATATTAAAACTCAATGTAATATTGAAACGAGCTACTAATTGTAATTTTTACTAATATATTAATATTAACCAAATCTGTGACATTTGGTAAGTAAATTTATTTAAATGTTCTTCTACTTACCTACTTATTAAATTTATGTTCTAATAAAATGCCACAAATACCATGCAGTCTCAAAGTGAAAGGGCTTTCTAGTACAGAATTATATATAGTGTGCTATAGGGTGAGATATCTAACTGAATCGATTAAAAAAACAATCATCAGTTTGTTTCAGTTTTCTCGTTTATATTTTGCTATAAAATAATTTGAAATTTGAAAATATTCTTCCAGAGAAAATATATCTGTACCCTAGAAGCATGTTAAGTCCAAAATTAGCATATTAATTTAAAAAAAAAACTTTGTTATATTTCATTTAAGTTCAAGATAAGTTAGTCATATACCAAATATTCAATCATAGGTTTAAAAATATCCGAGTAATTAGAGAGAACTTAAAATTCCTCTTTCTTATAACTGTTTTTTTTTGTTTTGTGACCTAACATAGCTTGCTTCTGGGGTACAAATATTTTTATTTGCAAATTAATCTGTTTTTGAATATTGGACCTCATCAAAGGAAAATACGTAATATATAAAATTTAAATTTTAATAGATGCTAAAATACCGCATGCAAAAAAACGGCGTCAAGTTGGCTTGGAAATTACGATCAATGACATTTACCGTATAATTTTACATATAAAATGACAGCGATCTTTGTTTCCGAGCCAACTCTGACACCGTTTATTTTCGATCATACTGTATTTTAAGATCTTTTAAACATTTTAATTTTAGGGTACAATTGAGGTTGGCACCTTTGAAGTTATCTATTAAAATGAGCTACTCTACTAATTGTAATTTTTTATGTTATATTAATATTCACCAATTCTGTGACATTTGTTAAATAAATTTATTTGAATGTTCTTCTGCTTACCTACTTAGATTTATATACGAATAAAATAATATAAAAACCAGGCAGTGAAGTTCCAAAGTGAAAGGGCTTTCTAGTTGTTTCTAGTACAGAATTAGTAGGTATGCTATAGGATGAGATACCTAACTAATGAACCTTTGAAAAGGAGAACACTTTCAGTATGTTTCAATTTTTCGTTTTTCATTCAATAATTTGAAATTAAACTACTCAAAACAATTAATTATCGCATATTTAAAAAAAAATTAATTTGAAAAACAAAAATTTTCAATTCCCTGACTTACGGTGTTAAATAGTTGGTGTGAAGGGAAATTCGAAACAATAAGCCTACGCGTTAACCTGTAATTTTTAGTCGGCCGACTATTTAGTTGCAAAAATGAAAACAATTCATACTTATGGAGCTGATCGGCCGACTATTTTATTGCATGTGAGAGCGGGTCCATAAGGATATATAGTTTACAAATATGCAACTAAATAGTCGGTCGATTAAAAATTGCCTGTCAGCGTATAGCCTAAGGCTACGCGACACAATCAAATATTGGTCTGATCGGCTCCATAAGAATGTATTGTTTTCACTTTTGCAACTAAATAGTCGGCCGACTAAAAATTACATCAGTGCGTACCCTAATTATCCTAAAAAAAACTACAAGAGAAAGGCAGAAAAATGCATGCTTCATTTAGAAATATGTCATAATTACTTTTATTCAAATATGCGATAATTGTTTTGACTATATATATATATATATATATATATATATATATATATATATATATATATATATATATATATATATATATATATATTATATAATATATATCATAAAAAAAAAAAATATATATATATATATATATATATATATATATATATATATATATATATATATATATATATATATATATATATATATATATATATATATATATATATATATATATATATATATATATATATATATATATATATATATATATATATATATATATATATACATATATTATATATATATATATTTTCCTTTGCTGGGGTGCAAAATATATATATACTATATCATATAAAAAATATATATATATATATATATATATATATTTTTTTTATGATCCCGAGTTTGTAAATATTTTGCACCCCAGCAAAGGAAAATATTATATAATATGTAAAGTTAAAATTTTAATAAATGCTAAAATATTGCATGATAGAAAAAACGTTCAGGTTAGCTTGGAAATAATAGCATTCACAATAGAATTTTACATACATGAAGGCGTAGATCTTCCAACCATCAAAACGACTTGGTACATTCATATGCTCTATTCTACATTTTATTATTTTAAACAAATTTCCATACAGAGGTTACCATTTCTCTCATGTTTGGAAAAATGTTATACCTAGTAAGTGGTTTTACACTTAAATTTAAGATTTTTCAAAAGTGGTACAATTGAGTTCCAACCTCTGGGATTACTAATGACAACAATACACTAAGATAATTTATATTGAGCGTATCCGGAAAAGTTCCCGAAAACAAATGACCGCAGGAAAATTAACCGAAATTAATATTGTTCTGAAGGAAAATTACCCGAAAGTGTAGTTCTCCTAAGAACATTTACGGAACAAAAAAGTTGCCCGAAAAATTGCAATACTTGTCAGGTCCGACATTGATTGCGTCTTGCATTATCCGAGTAAAAACGTGTAGAATGTCGAATTTGTAGTCAGTGAAAAAGGAAAACAGAAACTGTTACTCCACAGTTCTTTTATCAAAAAGACAATGTTGAAGAGTATTTTTTTATACCGATCGAATAAAAACGGCATCAGCGATGGCTATGAAATGAAGATCGTTGTCATTTTGTCATTTTACATGTAATATTATATGGAAAATGTCATCGATCGTCATTTCAAAACCAACTGGACGCCGTTTTTTTCGATCATACGGTATATTTTTTAATAGACTGTTGGTTTGGTTTGCTTTTTATTCAATGGGTCCTGTTGTTAAAATGCCCTGTATTGCAATATTTTGAGGAATTTTTATTTCTGTCAATTTGTAATTTTGTAATTCGTAATAATAACCAATTGTAAATCTGTCATACTTCTTTTCGGGTAATTTTCATTTCTGTCAATTGATTTCGGTCACTTATTTTCGGAAAATTTTCTAACCATGTTTGCATCATCAACTTTTGATTAAGACTAGAGTTTCAAGCTGATTAACTGAAGTTTTAATAATGTTGATGACATGGTACACAGTATGACATGGTTAATGCTAACATGGTTAACGAAAGATGCGTTTAGAATTCAGTGTTGAGTATAACAATTCAATAACAATTCAAGTGAAGCGTGTATTTTGGGTAAATTAGTGTTACTTTACTATTAGGCAAATGTTAATATTATTGTATTGAATGTTGGATATGCAAAGTTAGAAATAATGTCTAGACCTTATGTGTAGGCTAATGATTAATATAATTATGATTAATAAAATTGCGCTTATCTTATAACTATATAAGAACTTTTAATCGGCAATAAACGGCCTGTACAATTTTGCTAACAAATGAAAAAAAATAAGTGGCGTACATTTTTTTTAGAAAAATATTCCAGTTGCTACCCCAGTTACATCCCTGGTGAATTTGTCGATAGTTTTATAGTACTAAAATATGTAACACTTATAGTAACTTTTACCATCAAAAATTCATTCGAATCGCTAAAAGCACTTGGAAGAAAATTACCGTATGATCGAAGAAAACGGCGTCCAGTTGGCTTGGAAATGAACATCGACGAACCCCCGCATCGGTCTTCATTTCATAGCTATCGCTGACGCCGTTTTTTTTTTGATCATACGGTATAATAAATCGAAGAAAAAATCAAGACTTTAACCCCCCGTAGCGACGAAACAAAGTAGAATCGGACCTATATGTTGATATAAAAAAAGTAAATCTTCTCCCCAGGAGAGATGGCACATGTTTTTTGAAACAACCTGTATATGAATGGAATAATTGAAATACTTTTGTAACTTTCTGTGTAGCTTAACCATAGAGTTAAAAATTAAGCTGAACTATGACGAATCTATCACTTTTTTTTGCAAACTTTTTCGAAAACGGTTTGCTCTCTTTTTTGTATCTATATCTAGTCATCAAATTGAGAACATTTTTTCATTCGATTGGGAAATTGTAAAATTCCAAACGTCCTGAAAAATTCAGCTCTATAAATATAAATCTTAAAAAGATACTAAATTGACATATCAACTTACAATAATTATTGAAAAGTATTTATTTATTTATTACCTGTTTTTTTTTGGATTTGTTGATTAAAGTTTTTGAAAAATCATGCCAAAAAATGCTTTGTGTTTGAAAAAATAAATTATCCAATTTTACAATCGGATGAAACCTTGATGAAACCAATGACTAAAGAATATAAGGACATGTAACGCCCCTATACGGGCTGCAGCAGAATTTGTGACCTTTTTTTTTTGTTTTGGTGGCAAACAATGAGTCATCATTTGGTCACCAGCGACAATTTTAGCGATTTTTAATAGTTTGTGTGTAGTAAAGTTTGTATAAACTTTATTACAATGGTGATTAGTTGTTCAGCTTTCAAGTGTAAAAGCAGCAGCGATAAGAAAGAGCCAGGAGTTACGTTTCATAGGTAAATAAACAGTCCACTCGAACTTTTTAGCGTTTTCTTATTGAATTTGATAATTATTCTTCAACTTCAATTAACATTTATATATATTTGATATGTGCTATACGTCGATACTAGTTTTGTACCTTTTGTTAACATTTTAATACGTTTTTTCGTAATTAATTAGGATGATACAGCATAGGCGTAATCAAAACAATTATCAAAAAATATAAATATTGCTTCAAACAGCTAGGTTAAGAAAAATATGTTCCACGGCACTGCTTGGTGATA